GGGGGGGGGGGGGGGGGAGGGTGCAGGGAGGTGGATGAGTGGGGCCAGCTCACAGTTCAGGTGAGAGATAATGACTCTAGGGTAGGGGTTGTGGAGAGATGTGGATGATTTGAGAGATATTAGGAGGGGGCATTGGCAGGCCTTGGTGACTGACTGGTTGTGGGGGTGAGAGGGACAGAGGAGTTGAGGCAGAGGCTCAGATTTGGGGCTCAATGGATAAAGGTGTTGTTGCTGAGAAGCAGGTTTGGGAAGGAGCAAGAGTCACTTCCCAGCTGGAACGTGAGCCCCTCAAGTGACCAGTGTCCGGGTAAGTATTTGCAGAGGGTGGTGCAGGCTCTACCCAGGAAGTCTGGCCAGGCGTCGAAGGCTGGTTGGACACGCCTGTCTGGCCTCCGTGGAAGGAATGTCCCTCCAAAACCTGGATTTCCCAGGACATGGCTTGAGAGATGCCTTCGATCTACCTAGAGTCTTAGAAGAGGGCCAGGCCCCCACCCCAGGGAAGCCTGTCCTCAAGATACTCTGGAAAAGGAAGCCCTCAAGCTGGCAAAAGAAATTTCACTTCCACAACCCACCCAATGTCACTGTGGCCTCTAATTCTTACTGTTGGGAATGCCCTAAACAACCAGATCTGAGATCGGTTTATTCCATGCCCCCTCCTTTCCTGGGTGACCTCAGACTAGTTACAGGATGTCTCTGGGCCTCAGATTCCTCCACTGGGCCATGAGGAAGATCAAGAAGCAGTAAGGGTAGCAACATCCTTCGCCACCTGCCAACGCCAGATGGTGAAGTATCATATATGTCCTGACGATAAGCCAGGAAGGGGGAGGCATGCCACCTTCAGGAACCTGGGGCTGGGGCTGGGGGATCCAAAACGGCTTCACCAGGGCCAGGGTCAAGGATGCCTCTGGAACACCCAGAGGAAGAAGGAGGCTGGCTCCATCCCCAACCACCCTCTCCTCAAGGAAGCTGGAGAACCCAGAGCAGAGGTGTCTGATGGGGAGAGGCGTTGTCTCCTGTGGGATGTGCCCGGGTGTCTGTGTGAAGGGCTGGGTCTGTGTGTGGGAGCGTGTCAATGTGTGAGGCTACAACTTTGTCAGAGTGCACACATCTCTGCATGTGTTTCATGGTGTCTGTGTGGCCCTCACTTTCTGCCCTTTGCTCCTCCCGGCCCTGCACTGCTTTCCCCACAATTTTCTTTCTCCTAGGGCCTTACCTGCTCCCTGCCCCTATTTCGTCCCAGACCCACAGAGGACAATGCCTCCTCCTTCATTCCTCCTCATTTCCACTACTGTTCTTAAATTGTCAGAAGTCCAAACTTGGCAATGCCCTTTAAGATCATTCCCTTATTTTGGTGAAAACTGAAGTCAAGAGAGAGAAAAACTGGCTCAGGGTTACACAGCAGGTCAGTGAAGGGTCCAGATGAGCACCTAGGCTGAATCCATGCCATCTGCCAGGACCACTCTCTCTAAATCATGGCTACTTTTTCTTGTTCAGCACAGACCTTCCCCACCCCCACCTGCCTTCTGGGAAAATCATAGCTTTGATCTCTCTTTTGGCCTCAGTGGGACCATCTTTCCTAAACTCCAGGCCACGGTCTTAAGATACCTAGGCAATATCCATCCCCAGGGTGCCCACCAGCACCTCTGAGTCAACACAGCTACAGCCAGGCTCACCCTCAACCTGAGATGATCTTTCCATTGCCCCTTCTTTCTTTCCCTTGGTACCTTCAGTTTTCCCCTCTCCCTTTTCCCTAGGTCCAACTCGCCGTCAAGTCCCGTTGTTTCTTCTTTTGGTATGTTCACAGCCAGGGGCACAGCTGAGGGGGCCTCAGTTCAGCTGGGGCTCTGCTTGTGCCCATGCCCATGGGACTCACCTGCCTCACAGGAAGTGCCTTTCTTCTGATTCCTCTGTCAGGGGGGAACAGCTTTTTTTTTCTTTTTTCTTTTTGCCCACTGGTACAATATAGGCTAGAGGTGGCTGTGGCCATGGGCTGCCTGAAGCTCCAGAATCCTCTAGAATCTGGTCTCAAGGTGCCTATCTGTCTAGCCTCACCTCACACTGCTTCCCTCATAGCCACATGCTCTTCTCAAGCCAGGCCTCTCAAGGCCAGCACCTCCCTCACTATCAGCTATGTCCCTCTCCCCTGACATCCTTTCTCTCTTCCAGGCTGACATAAGCTATCATTGGCCCTCAGGGCCTGGCTGAAGCCCACTTCCTACTGATCAGCCTTTTCCAACCTGGACCATGGACAGTCAGCAGTGTGGACTCGGCACTTGGGGCATGAGGAAACCCTGCGAAGCCACGAAGTTGAGCCCCCACAGAGTGTAGGCTTCAGCCCTCTCACTCTCACCTTGTGCTCTAGGATTCCAGGATGCAGCCTGACTTAGGAGAGGCCTTTGCATTCAACCCCTGCCTGAGCCAGAAAAAGTTTTCCAGGCCTTTTTGCTCAATGGCAAGGAGCTTATCCCCTCCCAGTATGACCCAGTCCACTCCTGAGCAGCTTGGACAGCGAGAAAAGCACTCTTCCCATTGTTCCTGAGTTTGCCATCTTGTAGCTTCTCCACACTGTTCCCACCCTGCCCCCTGTGGCTGCACAGAACTGCCCTGAAGAGACCTAAAGGCGGTGCCTAGGACACAGCAATGTTGCATGAATATCTCTTGGGTTATGTGACAGGAGCAGAACCCCCTTCTGCCTCTTTGGAACTATATCGGGCTGTTTTGTTTCTTGGTGTTCTCTGGCTATCGCACCCGCTTCAGAGACAATGGAACCTAGACCCAGAGAAAAAAAGGCTCACCCAAGGTCAACTAGAGCACATCAGCAGCAAAGTGAAGGCCAGAACCTAGTTGGGGCATGTTCTGCTTACCTCCCGACACTGTCCTCCATCTATGAAGGAGCTGGCACTGTCCCATACACAAAACCACTGCCCCTCTGTGCTCAGAGGCTTCTTCCAGAGGGCTCAGGGTTGTGGGCTTTGAATGGGGAGGTGGCAGTGAGGGTGGGAGGGACTGAAGGAGGTAATAATCCCACACCCTCACTCAGCTTCAGAGGAGCTGGTGC